TTGATCAAATGCATGTAATTTAATTTTTAAGTAAACTATGCTATAAATATGAACTTAAAATCACTACATCACATGAATATAAATCAGAAGGTGGTAAACTTTTCCTGTAAATGGCCAGGGTAAATATTTTATTTTATTTATTTTTGAAATTTATTTATTTTTGGCTGCGTTGGGTCTTCATTGCTGGGCACAGACTTTCTCTAGTTGCACCGAGTGGGCGCTACTCTTCATTGCAGTGTGCAGGCTTCTCATTGTGGTCGCCTCTCATTGCAGAGCACGGGCTTCAGTAGTTGTGGCATGTAGGCTCAGTAGCTGTGGACTACGAACTTAGTTGCTCCAGCATGTGGGCTCTTCCTGGACCAGGGATCGAACCCGTGTTCCCTGCATTGGCAGGCGGATTCCCAACCACTGCGCCACTAGGGAAGTCCCAGGGTAAATAGTTTAGATTTTGTAGGTCAAGAGTCTCTGCTGCAACTACTCAACTCTGCCCTTAGAGTATGAAAACAGCCACAGACAATTTAGACAATATGTAAACAAAGGAGAATGATTGTGTTTCAATAAAACTTTTTTTGTTTATAAAAACAGAAAGCTGGGTGTATTTGGCAATTGGCTTCTTAGTTTGCAGATCCTGATGTGGAGAAAGATTGTCCTTTAATTAATATTAAAACACTACTAGTTTCCAGTGACTAATTTTCATTAATTTAAATATATGCCACTTAAACAGGATTTTTCTTTATATAGATATATGCAAAATCTTTCATAAAATGCAGAAATGCCTTAGAGGTACCATTATATTTCAGGGAACTTAAACAATAGTCAGGACATCTCGTACAGTACAGCTCAGTCTGCAAACAGCTGTTATGTTCTAAAATTCTCTCATGATTAAATTCTCTGTTGATTAAATAACACGTATTTCACATCTCATCACATAGTCAGTGGAGGTTAACATCCCTCTCTTTCAAAGTGATTTTATTGGATTTTCTTTTTTTTTTAATTTCATTTTGTTAAGCATCTTGTTTTATGCTTAAAAATGATGTGTGCTTTACATTTTCAAGAGATGGTTGGTCAGTCTTATTTGTCTTTATGTAACTATAACCTTGAACACAATGTCTTGCGAAAGGAAAAATGATAGATGACTGATAGGTAGATAGATGGATAGATAGATAGCTGAAGAGCCAGGGGTCAAGAGGGATAATTTTACCTTTCTGGGGTTGTACTTCTGAATTCCATTATTATAAATTGTTTATGTATTACCAGTTACTAAAATACTTTTTTTATAGAATGGGACTTTTGTTATTTATGTATTATTCAATGTCAATTTCCTCTATCATGGGGTTTGTGTAGTTTAACCAAACAAAATTATTCCTTAGATGCAGAGCTACAAAGTAAGTTCTGCCCACAGGAAATAAAAAAAAAATAACAAAACAAAACAGAAAATAAAAGAAGAAAATATAGATATATGAACAGATACATTTTAATTAGAGCAAATCAATGGCTACTGCAACTAGGCTTCAAAAGGTAAATCTTCTAAGACCATACAAAATGTTGCCCTATTCAATAGAATGTTTCTTTACTAGGAGCCAAGTTTTCTGAGTTTAACAAAAAAGGATTTTGCCATTGTTTGAAATATATGGATTAACTAGTGTTTTACTGTCATTTTTATTGTTATTCATTTTATTTTATCTTCTATTTATCATTGTGATATATGCTCACAATTTCAAAAACAAAGAAAAGAAAATACATTAAATTGGACCATTAGAAAAGAATACCATCTAAAAGTCATTCACAGAAAAAAATATTTTTATTTTCAGCTTTTTAAAAAGCTATTTTACATACATGTCTATAGTGAATACTGTTGATTGCCAACTAGATTCAACGATCTAACCTTGATTAGCTGACATTAATCTGTTTACCAGGTAGTTCTTACTCCCAGGTGCAGGAATGGCTTAATGGTTCTAAGCTTTTCTCTTTGGCATAATTTGTTCAGATATGGACAAATGATTATATTAGTCAATAAGGTAAAAGTGGAGTGTTTGGGACACTCTTGGGGAAACACTTACTTACTCTTAAGCACCAGAGGAGAGCAAACAGACCTGGAAAACTGATTGCAGTGTTAAACCACTGGATCCAACTAAACCTAAGCCTATTTCATTTTTCTATGTATGTTCCACATTTCTCCAAGGTTTAATCCATTTTTTAAACTTTAATTTGTATTGTTGTTTCTGTGGCAGCCAAAAGAATCCTAATTGATACTGTGACATACAGTTAATACATTTTCAATTATTTCTATCTTAATACATTATGAGTCTTTCCAAAACTGCTCATGAATATAATTTTATTATAATACTAATATATTATTATAATAAATAATAAATAATAGTATGCTCCAAGACTGTGATGATCAGGATGTAGACCTTAAATTCTACCATCCAGACCACAGCTGATTAGAGCCTTTATACTAATTAAAGTCACCTTGATCATCTATGCTGTGATGTAGGTAGACCTAAACTTTATGAATGAAGTTTTATCTCAAGGGATGGGTCAGAACTTGAATAACATTTGGCTTTTGTCCTCTGCCTGCTATTAGATCTGAACTTCATTAGCTGGTCCAGTCTGCGGCTAGTCAATGGATTTACATTCCTTAATTATCTTCTTTTAAAAAAGAAACTGATGGCTCATCAGAGCATTGATGAATTGTAATATTTTAATTTAAATCTTTATTTAGATTGACTCAATTCAATCCTGGCTTGAATGCTTCTAAAACTTCATGCTCTTTTCATCAGGCTGCTGGCAGATGACATTTGTAGAATTCCCCCAGATTGCATGTGAAAGCTGACAATTGTTTACTAGAATGTTTCTGTGTAGTTATGAAACAGCGTCTGTGTCACAGGAATTGTCCACCGTGCCTTACGTTTGTTCTATGGTGTGGAGACCTCCAATAACCCGTAGTGTAATGGCTTTGGCTCTCCTATGGATAGTGCTGTACTTAATTCTGGGACTCTCCATTCTTATACAGTTATGTTCCGTGCACTACTTCTTTTCCCTCCCACTCCTGAAAAAGACTTTTCTCCTGATATGAAGAAAACGCACTAGAAGTAATCCCTAAGCTTATTTGATGACTAAGCTTATTTGAGCTTATTTGAGTCCCATCAGTCCAGCCAAGTCTACATTCTTGGTTTTGGCATACCTGTAGAGACTTGCTGGATTCCAGCCTATCTGTCCCCCAGGGAGGATAAGCATTTTTTAGTAATTTATAGTACTTTGTGCTATATTAAAATCAAATCTAGTTGGTCACTTTACATGTGTTTTATGACAGGTCTTCCCTTAATGAAATCAAAACTTGCTGTTAATGGTATTCTACTTAAAATATATAGTTTCAAACTGTACCTTCTGTAGAAAGTTTAATACTGTCTCAGTGGATTTTCTACAGTCCTGATTGTCCTTTTAGTGGTATTATTACAGTCGGTGTAGAAAATGCTGATCCACACTTGTTCTCTTTTGCCTTAAGATAAGCCCTCGGGACATCTTGTGGCACCAGGCTGTCAGGTTGAAAAAGTGTAATTGCAATTCAGAGTGGATCTGGATACTGTATCAAGGCAGGAAACAATACTCCATAAGATGTTAGATCCTTACCCAAAACTAGAACATGGATGAATCTAGAGGACATTATGCAAGTGAAATGAGACATTCACAGAAGGATATATTGCATGAGTCCACTTATATGAGGTGTCTTAATTTGTCAAATTCAGAAGCAGAGGATAGAATGGCAGTTGATGGGGCCTGGGGGCAGGTGGAAATGGGGAGCCGTTGTTCAATGGGTATAAAGTTTCCGTTATACAAGATGAGAAAGTTCTAGAGATCTGCTGTACATTGTTGTGCTGCTAGTTTACAAGACTGTACTGTGCACTTTACAATTTGTCAAGAGGGTAACTCTCATGTTAAGTGTTCTTACCACAATTAAAATTTAAAAAATAGCTCTTGGGGAAAAACTTATTTAACTTATTCTTGTTTGGTTTTGCCACATGGTACAGAGGTATCTAACATCTTTTTATTTAGCAAATGGTAACAAATGAAATTTGGTTTTTATGAATTGAAAAACGGAGTAAGCATGAATCAGACGTCACGTAATCTATTTAGTTCTCACTAACGTTGATTGTAATCTTTTTCCTACTTTCCTTCCACTGTTATGATAAAAAATACAATGAACATGTATATACTCCCGATATTGCAGGACTCAAGTATATTTCTGAAATTTGAAGCTGTCTCCTAACAATAATTGCATATGTAAACCATAAAAATATTAAATTTTATATACATCAATCATAGTGTTAGACACTGTTCACATTTTTTTAACCTCTTTCTGATTTAGTTAAAAGATGATTTTTAACTAAAAACAGCTTGAGTAACAGTATGGAGTATAATATTATGTATTTCATAATAAATAACAATAACTATAACAAATTCTAATTATAAATTTAATACAATAACTATATTTAGGTAATGCATAAACCAAGGAAAAGAAGAGGATTATAATTTAGACATTGCCCTCTCTTTCTGTATTTTACTTTATTCCTGAATAGAAAGACTGAATTAAGGAGCAGCCAGAAGGCATAGACTCAAAGTTAAAAAGCTTTTCTCTTTGTAGTAACTTCTGTGCCCGGTTTAAATTGATCATTTGTTTCATCAGCTAATCCCCAAGTAGAGGGCATGTCCTTTCCACTTGCAGAATTCTCTTACATAAGTTGAATTCCCTCTTTATCACCTCAATCCAATAAGTACTTTATTTTCTTTTTGGTTGTTGTTAGCAAAAAAGGGTGAAAAAAATCAGCTCATGCTACTTGCTGGAGCTGTCTGCATATTAATCCCAGACTATGAACGGACATCAGAGTGCCCTTATGATATTTTGCACAAAGGCTCAGTGTTCATGGCTCTACTCAGAGAACCCAAAATAGCATTCAGTAAGCAGTGACATACTGAAGATCTTGGTACTAAAAGCACAAGCGTCTGTAACTCAGAGCAATGCGGCACATATAAGGTTTGATGAGAAGCCTGTGAAACAAAATCGGGGCAAACTCTCCTACTATTCCTCATGTGTTTCATGTGAATTTTGAATTTGTTTCTGCAGAGCTTATTGAACTTGAAGATACACAGGTAAGAATGTGATAATCAGGCATGTATTGATTATATAAATTAACTCAATGAAAATAGGGCCAAAAAGTACTTGAAAAACTCTGCTAATTTGCACTTCATAAGGAAAATTTTCTAAAAATTTTAAAACTTGACATGTGCATTGAACATTCTCTAAAACAAAAATCAGTTTGCCATCTCTACAGTTCAGATTGAGGAAAATAAAAGTTACTTATATCTAGAAAATTTAAAACAAGTTTCTTGGGAGGAATGTAGCATTACTGCTTTTTTTTCTTTCTCCAGGATTTTGTTTCTTAAGTTTTTTTTGTATTTACCTCTCTACTGTCAGATGCTATGAGCAGTAAAGTTATCAACCTTAAAGATATGAGAAAAATATTTATTTACAGAGTAAATATTTTTAAAATAATAAATTATTTATTTCTTAGTAAATGATATTCTGTATGGAGCTTTTCACATATGTCAATAAAACTATATGTTTCTTTGAAGGACAATCTACTATTAAAGTTGACATAATTATTTTATTTTCTTTGCCAGGTTTTTTTGGCTATCAAACTTTCTATTGACTTTCAAAATTTCTTAGAGTGAAAAAGCTTAAGTAATTAAGAATGTTACAAAAATACTACTAAAAAAAGTAAACTATTGAGCATATTATGAATACAAACACATTAATTTGTGATCTATTATATCTATTACATGTACACATATTAATTTGTAATCTATTATATCTATTACATGAAATAAGAAGGCTAATTCATCAAATATGAAATTACACAAAACTATAAATTAAGCAATGCAAACTGTGAAAGGCATTTATTATTGTTTCAATTCTAATTCATTACAAATAATTTTAATTGGGTTACTAATTTTAATAAAATATTTCAATGTAAATTTGCCAAAGGGATTTAGTAAATCAGTAACTAGCATATGAAATAACACCTGAAGAGATTAACAACAAAGATACATAAATAGAATGGCAAATTTTCCTTTAGATTATATAAATTTATAGTTTAGCTCTATAAGTTTATTTTTTAATTAATATACCCAGAGAGAAAACATTATTTATTTAAAATATTTGCAACTTTATATAACTATAATATATAAAAATTTATATATTAATATATATTTATATTTTGGATGTATTTGCAATATGAAGTAATGTAATAAAATAATATACATTTATATAATATTGTTTATTTCAAGTTCTAAATACTTTAATGTCTAAATATCACTAGCATGCAAATATATATACTTAAAATTTTTAATTTGAAAATATTTCAATTTCAATATAATCTGAACATTTCTGTTTACCAAATTTTGTAACCAGTAAAAATATTTCCAAAAAGGAATAAACATTACAAAATTAGAAGTCTAGAATTATTTAATCTTTTAAAATAGCCAGTTTGTGAAATCTAGAAATCATTTGACCTCTTATTTTTTATATGTGTTTTCTACTTTACCAACAGTGTTTAACAATGACTGAAATGAATCAGATTATTCTGTAAATTATATCTTCCTTCTATGTTTTCAATTTTTTTTTTTTTTGGCTGCACTGCATGGCCTGTGGGATCTTAGTTCCCCCACCAGGGACTGAACCCATATCCCCGGCAGTGGAAGCACAGAGTCTTAACTACTGGACGTCCAGGGAAGTACTATGGTTTCAATTTTAGTATTTTCTTTACTTGTGCCCTTTTATGCTTAAACCCACACACACTCTTTCACACAATTTGTAGAAGTCTTAAAGCATATATTACCTAAGTATATTTTTTGTTTTATTTTGTTTCCCCCTTTGAAATATTTCTAAGGTACTTATCTCCAGGAAATTTAAAAAAAAATTCAATTAAATTATCATAAGTTGAAGATGTTTTAAAATGATGTGCACAAATTCCTCCCATGCATTCTTAAGAAACCTGACCCATCTTTCAGAAATTTTTCATAATGTAGTGCATATAATTTGATAAATAATAATCAGTAACTAAATATAAATTGGTAGTAAATTTTTTGCCAGTCATGCTCTTAACATGTACCCTTTAAATAGTATGTTATATTTAAAGTCTTATAGTATAGTATTTAACATGTTATTGAATACTAATACAATAGGAATAAATGTATTACACAGTTTAAAAGAACATATTGAGCTTTTCATATACCTTTATTTAGATTGGGATTTATTGCTACTGACCTAATATTTGAGAACCATGCTGATGAACATGGGAAAATGGAACTTTTATATTTTGTTGTCATGATGACTTTCTTTAATAACCATGATCTTCGAATACCTGTATCTTTGCTTTGGCATAACAGATGAAGGATGAAACATAAACAAATATGGAACTTAATAAAGCATATGAATCCTTTCTTTCTTGCCGTGCTGGTGACAGCTCACAAATTTGAGAAATGAATGAGTTACTTTTTCCATAGTGACAAGAAACATGTTTGACCCTTTTTCTAAAGACCTATACCACTAGAGAGTTTTGTTGCCACCACTCAATTAAAAGAATTCAGCTAAAATGCTCTAAAACCCACCTTTTCACAACTTATAGCAAATCAATTTCTTTTTGAAATGTTGCATGTCCTCTTGAATATTCTGATGTGATTCAGTAAGACAACTCTTGTCTCACATTAAAAACGCCTCTAGAATTAGTAAAGTAGAAATGTTTTTGTCAGAAATTTGTCGCATTAATTAGTACTCAATAAAAGACATTCAGAATCATCAAAAAATGTCTTAAAGCAAAACATAATTTTTCAGGGACTCTGCTTTGGCATATGAAGTCAAGTTTGAGATGTTATTTTAGAACAGTGACTTATCAACATACAAGATCAGTACATTTACATTTTATCTGTTCCTTCCTTCTAAGAACTTACATGATAAATGAATTTTGTAAATTAGCAGGGTAATATATTAAAGTGGGAGTAATTTTGACATATTAGTTATGGCTAAAAATAACCTAGGTAATTTTCTCTAAGTGCAAAATTTAGAAATGTTCCTGTGGAAATGAGAAAATTATGCATAAATCATGGGAACGGAAAATGCCACCATTTTTCTGCCTTTAAGTTGGATTAAAGCTAAATTGTTTTCGAGAGTTTGCCATCTATTTTATTTTTAAAAATCTCAAATGGAGTATCTATGACCTCCTTTTATAAAAAAATTTTTTTATTGAAGTACTGCAAAGTGATTCACTCTTTTTCATATTATTTTCCTTTATGGTTTATCACAGGATATTGAATATAGTTCTCTGTGCTATACAGTAGGACCTTGTTGTTTAGCTATTCTCTATATAATAGTTTGCATCTGCTAATCCCAAATTCCCAATCCATCCCTCCCGGACCAATCCTCCCCCTTGGCAACAAGTCTGCTCTCTGTATCTTTGAGTCTGTTTCTGTTTTGTAGATAAGTTCATTTGTGTCATATTTTAGATGCCACATGTAAGTGATATCATATGGTATTTGTATGACCTCCTTTGATAAAGAGATAATACCACCAAATTCAGACACAGATATAAACTATAACTAGAACACTAAAAAAGATAGAAAAGAAAAAGATAGGGATGAATCTTCTGTTTGAAATTTTAATGGTATTTTTTGTCATTAAGCAAATACTTCTTGACAGTTCTTGGAGTTGCTCTTGAATTAGTGAAGCAAAATATAACTCTTTCCCCAAAGTGTTAGATGAAAAATAAAAGGGCCACGCTGTAATTTTTTAATTGGATGTAAATCCCCTTCTTCTAATTCGGACTTTTGTCTTGGGGCTTTTTAAAACATCGGTTGCTCTTTGGTCATTTTCTGTCCTTAACCAATGTCTACTAACTATGCCAATTCTACAGGCATATCAGAATTTGACTCCAAATTTATTGGTTAATAATAAATAAGCATATGTGTTTCTATACATGCATACACATATATACATATACACACATATGTGTGTATATATATTTATCTATGGTCAAATTTCAAATTTACATATATACTCATTTAATAACTTTAAGCCCACACAAATTATTTGTTAAAATACTGTGCCCCGTTAGAGTGCAGATTCAATAAAGTCACTTATATGAAATTTAAACTGGCTTTTAAAATTATAGTTTCTGTGCAATATATAAAATTATATAAAATTATAATATATATAAAATATAGTTTCTGTGCAAGTTACAGGTGTACAATATAGCGATTCACAACTTTTAAAGGTTATACTCCATTTATAGTTATTATAAAATATTGGCTATATTCCCCATGTTGTACAATATATCCTTAGAGCTTATTTTATGCCTAATAGTTTGTACCATTTAATCTCCTGCCCCTATTTTCCCTCCCCCCTTCCCTCTCCCCAGTGGTAACTACTAGTTTGTTCTCTATATCTGTGAGTCTGCTTCTTTTTTGTTAATTTCACTAGTTGTGTATATTTTTTAGATTTCACATATAAATGATATCATACAGTAATTGTCTTTCTCTGCCTGACTTATTTCACTTAGCATAATGTTCTCCAAGTCCATCCATGTTGTTGCAAATTTAAATTATTTTAAAGGTGTGAAACAGTGCTGTCATTGTGTGTGTATACACGTGTGCATATATGTATATTCCATATATACATAGGATTTTTTTAAACCAACGTTTAAAACACACAGTTCTTAACTCATAAGAATAATTTTCATGAGGTATGTGACATTGTATTATAATGATACCACTAAGCTTTTGTTTTGTAGGGAAAAAAGGACAAGCAATACATGTTTAAGGCTATATGTATATGAGTTAAATATTACAAATCTTAGTAAGATATTAATTAGCTCCTTTCTACATATTACAAAACAATTATAAGGGTTGCCAGAGTTTTTAAAAAATTAGGTAAGGAATTATTTCATGTAAGAACATCATCCCTTTCCACAGAATATATGAACTCTCCCTACCCGTTGACAAGTTGGAGTGTCTCATAGTGCACATAACTTAAATTTTTAGGGAAAACAGAGACACTTATTCCCTCAATAATTCAGTCATTCAGCTTCTACATTAATATTATACTGAATGAGGGAATTCCCTGGCAGTCCAGTGGTTAAGACTTTGCCTTCCAATGCAGGGGTTGTGGGTTCAATCCCTGGCTGGGGAGCTAAGATCCCACATGTCTTGCAGCCAAAAAACCAAAACAGAAGCAATATTGTAACAAATTCAATAAAGACTTTTAAAATGGTCCACATAAAAAAATGGTAAAAAAAAAGTTATACAGAATACTTCTACATTAAGCACTAAAAAAAAAGCATCTTTATCTTCCCTGGTATCAATTACAAAGGAATAAAAATTTTAAAATATCCTATCTTACTTTTAAAATCAATTTTGTGTCTCAAATGAACTATATTCATAATGATTTTCCTTCCTTAAGTCTATGTATTTTTAACACATTCCATCTCTTGGAGGTACATTTACTGTTTTATATATTTTAAAACATCTATTACTTATCTCGAAGGAGTGTTTGTTTAAAAATATTTTGTACTAAAATAGAGATATATTCTCACTTCCTTTAAAAACATGTCCTTTGAAATGTACATTCCATATTAGGACCCAAAATTTCTTATAATTTTAATCCAACTTTTTGTGAGTAAATATTGTAATAGTAAACTCTTTATAAACTTTTTTATTTCAGTTTTGAAGTTGATTTGAGTAAGTGTTATCTTAACACATGGAATATTCTGAGAGATTATTTGAAGTTCCTGAATTTATTGTTTAACTCTAAAGTCATAGCAAAGCATAAACAGTGGTAATTACATTATCATTATTTACTTATATATTATCATTCTTAATAATAAACAGAATTTATTGAGTGGTTACTTTGGTGCTTGGCTTATTTTTTTCTTTGCAGCATCTTTGCTTATTATTGCTCATTTAATTGTCCTACAAATGGGCTCTCAAACACTGTAATTTCTATCTTAAAAAACCCTTCATTAACTCTAAGCCCCCTAGGGCAGAGACATATCTCTGCTTTCCTTCTATTTGCAACTACTCTGAGAGACACATCTACTCTTGGGACTCAATTATTGACCTTTAGTCACTCTTCAATCCACTCTTTTCTAACTGTTGAGAATCACTTGTAAAACTTCTCTTGAGCTATTCATCAAGATGCACCAGTTTTTGTTTTTAATTAACGAATGGTATAAGAAACAAAATCTGGACACTTAGGGTGCATATTAATGCTGGTAATAGGTAAATTTTTGCTGATATTGTGATAGTCTCTTTTAGTGGCACTTTAGGAAAGATATCTATTTTTCATGCTCATTTGTTAATACTGATTTTTCTAATTAAATACAACTCACTATCAAACTCTACTTTCCTGATAGCATATAGTTTTTCTACTACAAAACTATGCACTGTCATTGTCATAATTCTGTCCAACCTCTTTAAACATTTGACTGAGTGTAGATGTCAAAAATTACTCAACTAGCTTCAACAATTAGGTTTCCAAATTCTTCACATAATAAACAAATGCATTGCACCAGAATTTTCTAAATGTCAGTTTCTTTCTGTAGGATAGAGTTTCAGACCTGAGTTTTGTAGATTAAATGGTCTGAAATCTTTAACACTCCTGAAAGATATTTTCTAATTTCAAAATATCATTCCAAGTTATTTTGCTGGTGTGAGAAGCAACTAATAACAAGAAATTGTGGTTTAGGAATTTAGAGATTGTAGGAGATTAGTGCATATCTTTGAAAGAATTAAGAGGTAGAATTGACCATAGACGAAGCCTGAATATATATGAGAGGTAAAGTGAAGAAAATATTAAAGGGGAATTTTTATTCAACTGAGAGTTTCTGAGTGGAACCTGGTTTCATTCAGTGAAAGAAACAACATAGTGATTATGTGGAATGGGGGATAAAAGATAATTATTTCTGTGTGAGACATGGACATTGAAATGCCTCTTGGAAAATAGGTTTGTAGATCAGGAAAGTGATATATATGGACTATTGAGATTGCTTTGTGATGCTTCAGGATATAAATATTAATTGAAGCTGTAAAACCAGGAGATAAACATGAATCGAATGAACAAAAAATTCCTTAAGAATGCAACTCCATAATTTAAGAAATAGGACAGTAAAATGAAATAGAGATTCCTCAGACAAAAGAGAACCACAAACGTGTATGGAGTTTTGCAAACCAAAAAAGGGAGATTTTTGAAAAGGATATGTGGTTATGGTGCAGGCAACAATGTGCCATGCCACTGTGAAGTTAATTTAAAAAAAATAAAAGTATTTATTAAATTTATAGAAAGAAATACAGGGGATCCCTTTTGACCTCAATGGATTGGTTGCATTGTACAGTAGTACTGGTGGAAAAAAACAGACTGCATTTTTCTGTAGACTGAATGAGAGACCATGAAGACAGTAAATGGACATTTATCCTGTAATAGTATTTCCCCTCCACTTTCTTTGAGATTTACTTGTGAATGCTGTGCCTTTTGAATTAACCCTCTAATTTCCTGATCTTTTCTATCCAAGTTTCTAGATCTATGCCTTGTTATTCTACTTCCTAAGAGATTTTCTCAAATTTATCTTTTAACCACCCTCCACCTTTTAAAAAACTAGTCATGAAATTGGATTTCACTAGATTTTTTTGGCAATGACTCAGGTGATTGATTTAGATATCCCCAACTATCATTACAGCTTTGTACTTGAGGATATATGTTTCTTTATTAAAGAAAGTTGATAGGCAAGTAGATAGATTTCAGTTTACAAGTTCATGGAATCAACTTTTCTAAATCTATATTTAGATGTGACAATGGCACTATAAGGTGATGGTTTTAGCCTTCTGATTCTATCTCTAAAGTGTCTTAGGTCTTGTCACTATTTATAGTACGTTTCTACTTCAAAACCTGACTTTTCACATAATAGAAACTGCATACGTTAGCTTTGGGTGTATAAACCTGAAATCATTTGTATACAGTCTGCAGCAAATATTTCCTATTTTTTGTTGCCCTGTCTTGAAAGGAATTCTTTCCTCTATGATTTAAACAACATTAATGTTGACAGTTACTCCTTTGATTTTTTATTCCTGTGGTAATGGGGACTTACTAGTGATTCTCTTATGCACCCTAAGGATGGATTAATTAGAGGGTTACGAAGAAATCTGTGATTATAAACATTTAAATAAATGCCATGTTTATGGCATAATAATAACTACTTTTATTGCATATTTAATATGTTCCAGGTGCAGTTCCAGTTCTTTTTAAATGACATCACAACATACATATAAGTCAGGTATGTTATCTCATTTTACAATTGGAGAAACTCAATCTGAGAGTGTTTAAGCACCCTGATTAGTACCATGCAACTCTTGTATCTATATATGTACAAATCTTTACATTTTATACAGATTTTCCTTAATAGTTAGCATTAATTTAATATTAAATGAAGACTTAAATAAGTAATGTAATTAAGAAAAAGAACCAGATGGATATTATATGGTTTATTTGATTTAATTCTTTACTTCATGTCATACCTTTATCTACTATTATGTATTCTCAACCTTTATTATTTATAATAACCATCCATTCTAGATATAATTTGGCAACCAGAAAGTTACTACTACATGATCAGGGCTTTACGGTAAAAGTCAGTCTGAGAACCAGAGCAGACTATTCTCTTGAAGAGAAGGGAAGCAGGATAAAGTGGGGGATGTGGATTTGGAACATCCAACATGGCCATCTGGTGCTCCTCTACCTTGCAGAACAGTCTCCAAATAGGTGTTTATGTAACATAGGGCATACACAAGACCGTCAGCTGAGCTGTGGGAAAATATAAGAAATTCTATTTGTATTGATGTTTTATCTCATTCTTTTGCATTTCAAGTTTCAGTGTGATTTATAAAATACCTATATAGTGGTAAAAGTTGTAGAAGTAAATGATTAGTATATAAATATACAACAAATATTGCAGTACACCTTCAGCATTTTTTTTCTGATAGGAGTATAAAATATGAAAGTTCAGAAACCACTGCTCTAAAAATAAACCTTGGCCAATATCTGCACACATATTTCATTTCCAAAATAGCATCCATATTCCAGAATCCTGCAACCACATTGGTTAAATGTACCCACTCAGAAAGAAACAAGCTCTCTGGATTTAACTCCAATCCCACCAATTATTACATGGCTAAGCAAAGCTAGTTAACCTACATATGTTCATTGTCTGCATTTATAAAATAGCAACATTAAAAGAAAATATACCATAGAATTGTCGTAAGACAAATTAATTGAAGAATGGCATACTCTTCGTATAGTTATAATCATGGAGTAAGCCCTCAATACTTGTTAGACAAGATGATGCTGATGATGACGATGATGATAATGATGATGGTAGTGTCCTCAGACTATTTGCCTTAGAATCACCTATAGTGCTTGTTAAAAATACCTAACTGGTGAATCAGAAGCTATGGAGTGGAAAATCTACATTTTATCCAGAGTAGAATAAGATGTGTAAATCATTTCCCACAAATAGAGGGATGGAACTAACCAAGCATTTAAGGATCAAGGGATTCTCTTCATGCATAGTAAAAATTTTAAAGTAGAAAAAATGTAATCAGCTCCAACATAAAATAATAACAGTATTGTCACGTGTTCAGAGTTTAAACTAATAATTATTACTACTATTGTCAAAAAAGTGTTTTTGCTGAAATGCTTTTAATATTTCACCCAGTTCCTCTGAATCTGATACTATATGATTCTGTGATACTATTTTATGAATTTTAAAATTTTGCATTGATCCTATACACACACAGACACACACAGACACACTCACACAAGCAAAATACAGGGTATATGACTTTAAACTGTTTTTTTTCATCATTATGATTTGGGCCTTTAAAAAAATCATGTTTATATTATGCCTTTTTCAATAACAGAATCATATTTTCCATACCATTTAGAAGTGGTGCTTACGAAGTATTGCTTTTGATGGTAGAATAAATTTATAGATATTGTAGTTGTAAAGGTGTACTGAAAACAATTGATAATTGGAGAAAGGAACATTTTTTGGATATATTTGACTAGGCTTTATTGAGCTACTAATACAACATCAGCAAAAATTGTCAAATAGAGTACAACTGTGTCTTTATTTACAATACTATAATAAGAAGTGACTAAAAAGATTTTCAACAAGTGAAAACCAAACTAATATCTTTATAATGGAAATTGAGGACAAAATAAATAACTGTAACAAATTCTTCGGAGAGTAGAATATATTGTTCGTAAGAAGAAAAATATTTTTTTCCTTTGTCTTGTCTTTATAGTGACATATATGTTCAATTCAACAGATATTATTTATGTGATGAAAATAATTAACTGATAATGTTTTATAATCTTGCAAAACAATGTTTTAGGTGAAAAATGCCTAAAACAATAACTTTGCATCATTCTAAGATTGTGGAATTTTTGATTCAAAATATATGTTAACTGATGGTTTTGTAAAACTGCTATGATTTATTTCATGGTTCATGAAATCTTCAAAAGTGTACCTTATTCATCAATTGTTGTTCAAAATTTTTACTTTTCTAAATTTGTCTTTTAGTTTTTCTTAGCATTGAAAATCATTCTTTGTTAGTTATATACTATCTGAAAGCTGTGAATTCATTAGGATTAGATAATAAAGGAAACCTGGAATATATGTTATATTTTCTAATCAATATTTCAGTGGTTTATCTGCATGAATTACACTTTAGTTTTCACCCTGTATAAATTCCATACACACATGCAGACACACACACACACACACACACACCCCCACACACACACACAGCTGGAGCCTGGCAATAAACACAACATTCTATTTGTTTAGATACAATTTGTGTGTGTGTGTGCGCAATGCAACTTTGATTAGTTCTAGTCATAAAAATGAAAAATCAGTTACATCCAATGAATTGTAAAGAGAGTGTCTACTTGGGACCAATTAACAAGTCCACTCTCAAACAATCTAAGATAGTCATCCAAATCATAAGAGTTCCTCAATTTATATAGATAAGATATTCCAATACCAAACCAGGACTGTCTAGAGAAGAAATAGAATAATTTTGCATATGATATTACCTGGAAAATATCATATGCTATATATCCTATATATCTTTTAATGTATATTCTATATAAAATATTTATACTACCTACACTACATCATATTGTCATGTATAATATTTTATATAATACATATTTACATTACATATTGCTTTCTATATATATTGTAAATATACACATATATATACAAAGTTGTTTGTATATATTAGCGATACAAGAGTGCCTCAATATTACTGAATCTATTTGTTCTGTGAATTATCAGATCAGACTAAAAGAAAGAAACCATGTGTTAATCTCAATTCATAATCTCAATTTTAAAAAGATGCATATTCATAACAAAATTTCTTTGAAAAGTAAAAATGGAAAGTAACTTATTTAGCCTACTAAGATATATACAACAAACTCGACAACATATAGCCACTTAATGTTTAAACACTAACAGCTTTCCCATGTGAAGACAGGGAAAAAAGTGAGAATTTTGTGTCTGTGTGTACGCATGCATGTTACATACTTTTAAATTATTTGTTATTTGGCATTGTTGAAATAGGTGAGCATTTGCTGCCCAATGCATCCTGTGTGGCCCTAATTTTTTAAATTTTCCTCTCCTGCACTCAACTTAAGCATGTGGTTACAGGCTCTGGGATTGAAATTGGAAGTGGAAATCTATAGGACTGAACATACAAGTGTCCATTCATAATAATTCTACTCATTCTTTTTGAACCAAATAAGCTGAATTGAATCCATCAGTAAGGTAATCATTAGGAGGTTATGATTTAGGAGTTGGGTTAGTGCTCAGAGGAAGTGTGGTTAGAAAGGAAGAAATAGAATTACTATTACTCATACAGAATAAAAGAACAATTAAAACTAATAGGAGAGTTCAAAAAATATGCTAGATTCAAAAGAAGAAAAATATTATCATCAGGCAAAAAAGGTTAATTGTTAAATTGGTGTAACCTAAATGGCAAAAGAAACTCTAAAGTATTAAGGAATGACTATCATATAAATGGTCAAAGTCTTAATGGAAAAATATAAAAGAAAAACCATATTGAAATATATTTTAAAAACCTGAATAAATGATGAGATGCTTAAAAATGGAGAAAATATTCAACATGTTAAAGATAGAGACAAACTTTTCCTTAATGAATCTATAAAATCAAGAAAATTTCAACCACATATTCAGATTTTTTCATATAACTTTAGAAGCTAATTTTAAAGTGTATACAAAATGCTAAAGAACCATTTGAAGAAAACAAAATATTAGTACCAGTAGATCTAGATAGATATAATATAGTAATACATATAAATATAATATTTAAAAGTGTCATTAGTCTACAAAGAAAAGAGAGCCTTTAACTTAGTCCATAACAAATGTGACATTATAAATTTATTAGGCAATTATGGGCTATCCAAAATAATGTTCTGAGAATTACCATTTATATGATCAAAGGTAAAGTGGATTCCTTAACTCAAATAAAACAAAAATAAACATTTTCATGTGAATTAATGAAAAGTACTAAGTGTGAGACACAAAACAGGAAATTTTTTCAGAAACATAGAGTAGAAAATGTTTAAAATGTTTGAGTAGAAAAGGATTTTTTAAAATAGCATAGAAATGGCAACTGATAAGGAAAAACCTGATAATTTAGACTCTTGTAAAAATTCAAATATTTTCTGCATGAGAAAAAGCACCATAAAGAAAGTGAAAAACATCCCTAAATTGGAAGAAATCTTAAATGTATGTGCCTAACCAGCAATTTTTAAATTTTTTTTAGCTTCTGTAAATAATGCTTAAAAATCAGTTAGAAAAAGACAAGCAATTAAAATTTAGCAAAAATAAATGAGGTTGGGACTTCCCTGCTGGTGCAGTGGTTAAGAATCCACCTGCCAAAGCAGGGGACACAGGCTCAAGGCCTGGTCTGGGAAGATTCCACATGCTGCGGAGCAACTAAGCCCCTGCGCCACAACTACTGAGCCTGCGTTCTAGAGCCTGCGAGCCGCCAAGAATTCAGAATAATGATAGTAAAGATGATCCAAAATCTTGGAAATAGAATAGACAAAATGCAAGAAACATTTAACAAGGACCTAGAAGAACTAAAGAGGAAACAAGCAACTATGAGCAACACAATAAATGAAATTAAAAATACTCTAGAAGGGATCAATAGCAGAATAACTAAGGCAGAAGAACAGATAAGTGAC